CTTCATGTAAAATCTCAATTAAATATTCAATAAAGATAGAGGCATGGCCTCACCATTAATATTAAAAAAAAAATAAATAAATAAATTTGATCTACATAGTACACCAACGTAACGACGATCTGTGTGTGGCCTAAGCGTGATGCTGCGCCCTATGACGATGATCATCTGACTAGTACTTTGGGGGCCGCCCTGACTAATTCTCACATTCTATATATCTATAGTAAATAAATTAAAATTTGATACATGGCTTTTGCTAAAAAAATCTCTTATGTACCGCCTTCTTGTGGGTTTCCCACTCGAAACCAGAAAAAGAAGTTAACAACACCTGATAACTATTTATCTTTTTCTGAACTAGAGAGGAAAAAGAGATTTGTATAAAAAATTTAGCCACATTATATTTTTTCTATTTAATATACAATGATAAAAAATTGAAATAACACACTTACATGTAAAGACAAACAAAATTACTTAGAAAAGTGGCACACCTTTAGAGGGTGGAAGCACGGGTGTAAGGTTTGTGACGAATGCAATCACCATTCACAGCTGTATTGCAAAACATGTAAAAAAGTTGCGAATGGAATATATAGGCAATGTGAATGTAAAAATTCTCGAATAATAAATAAATCAATTAACGGTTTGATATAAAAGCAAATAAAATTTTTATTATATTAAACAGTTACTCTGATTTATTTTTGATTATTCTAGAAACTCTATTATTTTTCAGCCACAGGATGGCATTTCATCATATTTGCTACCGATGTCCTATATTGTACTAGTAAAAACGAATAGCGGATTAATTTAACCAAAGAGGATCTTGAATCAATACGAAAAGGGTTATTTGATTGTTAAAAGACAAAATAACAGTATCTGATGGACCCGAAAGCAAAAGATGTCGTGTACAAAAAAAATAAAACAGCAGATAGATTCTTATTCCGTATTTTTATTATTACTCATGTAATGGGCATTTATATGACTTATATATTTATTTGTATCAATAAATATGTATTTATTCCGATATAAAAATGCTCAAAGGAATGTGATGTCAATGCTACAGTATTATGTTTAATTTCTGATTTTTTTTGGCGACGGGCCGTCGCTGAAATTTTGGTCGGGATGATTCACAAATTCGAACTTTCTTAAGTTACGGATCCAAGGCTATGTGAGAAAAAGGGATGGGCGCTCTCCTATAAAAATTCATAACGTATTATCTAAAGAATTTGGTTTTGTTTGCTGGCTCTGTTAGGTGCAATTGAAGGAATAATTTCAATAAAAATAGAAATAATAATAATATCATACCCTGATTAATTGTAGAGCCATAGAATTTGCCTTTCGAAGCAGATTTTATCCGGCTGTCTTAGTATCTACATTCACTCATATCAGGCTTGAATAAAGTATATGCATTTTGCTGTTTGCATGTGATAAAGAGTAGAAAAATAAAGTAAATTTCCTTGTTGGTCTTTTAATCAATTGTATAAAAAAATGATATTATCTTTAATAAAATAAATACAAAAGCGACGATAATAGCTTTATTTGATAAAAAAGACCAAGCGGTAAGTGATCGAGCACACGATACACACTCTTGACAACCGATCATGAAACACAACTCTTGAACGAGCTTATGGGATAACCGTAGTTCTTCAGAATGATCGGTTAGCGCATCGTCTTCCATTACACAAGTCACGACAGGTGCCCCTGTAGGAATAACCGTAGTTTTTGACCAACCCTGCCTGTGGCCTATATATGGGGTCAAGTAATCCTTTCGCTGGAATATTCAATAACAAAATGAGTATTAGCACAAGTTAAGGATTAGTATAATTAGAGCTCTACTTTAAGATACTTACAAGGCATCAAAAGGAAAACTTGCATTCTGGGTACGTGCTCACAGTATAACCAGTATAACTCTTGACAACCAAGTGTGAGCCACAACTCGAGAGCTTATGGGATAACCGTAGTTCCTCAGAACACTCAGTAGTTATACTGTCTTCTGTAAGAGATCTGGTCACAAACGTACCTTCTGATGAAGAATAACCGTAGTTTTTGCCCGTCTTATGCCAGACTACAACTTACAGGACACGTTCTATTTTACAGGGATAGAAGAAAAAAATATAGCACAGTTAGCGAAAGAAACAAAGTTATCTTATACTATACTAGGTTTCAAGCAACGGTTGACAGGCAAAATGTGTGGTAGAAAAAACACGTTATATACTAAACTAAA